ATGGGGGAGTCTGCTCTGGAACTGCTAAGATACCCCCATTCCAGGACCAAGAGCCCAATAGCACTGGGTTTCAAGGCTCAGAAGGGTTAGACCAGCTCCCCAAGCATCCCCTGGTCCTTTGGATATTGTGCTGCCTTGGATCTGGTATGTCTGCCATGTGACCCTTGGCCTGGCCAAGTCCAGCTTGCCTTTGGGTGTCTGCCCTTCAGTCTGGGCTATGAGGGGACACAGTTCCACAGATAAACAGGCATTTTCCCCATGGCCCCTAGGATTTCCCAGTGACAGTCACTGTTCCTGCTGGACACTTCCTGCCCCTTTGCCCAGCCAGTCTGTGAACTCAGCAGACCTAAAACACATCTTCCCAGGGGCCAGCTTCCCCACTAGGGCTAGTCAGATCAGAGACTGGGGCTTGTGGTCACATAGTTCAAGGACAGGGGGTGGGGACGGCTTCCGAGAATATCTCACACTTAGATGAGGCTGTGGTCCCCACAAGCTGTCCCTTCCTTGGATCTCCTGACCACAAGGTGAGCTGGAACGTAGAGGATGTAGGCCTGGCTATCAAGGCCAGGTACCCTGGGCCCCTAACTTCACCCCCTATCCGGAGTCCCCACTTTCGGCTGTGGTTTCTTCTTCTACCTGACTACCACACAGTACCTGAGGCATCTTTCATCCCACCCCCTCACTTCCCATGACATCAGCAAGCACAGGAGTCAGACAGGGTGTCCCTGAAGGCTGTTTAAAATCCACAAGTCAGGAAATCAGGTTCCCATGGTGGACATGGACCTGACCATCACCTCATCTGTCTTCTGAGCTATGGTTTGGTAATAATCAGTGCCCCTGGCTCAAGGGAACAGCTCCTTCCTAGCATCTAAAACATGACTTACCTCAGGGATGATAATTGAGTCCCCTGAGCACTGACAAGCCCAGGCCCACAGTCTTCTGGTTGTCTATGGCCAAGGACAAGTCCCATGGTAGACCTGGTACCTTCTGCCCACAGTAGAGGACAGGGTGGTCTCTGCGGGTAGGACTTCCTTCTCCTTGGCTCTCCCACTGACCCAGCCTCCCTCAATCTGGGAAGCACATTTAGCTCAGTAATACTTCCTGTCCCCTTACCAGTTCTCTCTCCTGAGTTCCTTCCTGCCTAGAGAGACCGGGACTATGATGGCCAGGGCTTTTGCATCTGCTTCAGCATGACAAGAACAGGACTGACATCTAGGCCGCAGGAGACTGGGCAACCCTCCAGATTTCTCATTGACAGGAACCCACACTGCATTTGGGGCACCAGATTTATGTGTGGGTTTCAAGCAGCTCACAGCAAAGACTGGTAGGTGACCAATGGAATCTTTTGCTTCCTTGAAATTCCTAGATTGACTACATCTCAGCCTGCTTACAATTCAAATACCACAGGCCATTGTCTTGTCCCTAGGCAGCCTAAAGCCTGTCCCTGACCCTCTAGAAAGAACAGCACAGGGCCCAGGCTCTGGTCAACCACTCACCCTCCTGCCCAGGGTCTCAGAGAAGCTGCTCGGCCTCATTGTTCAAGTTTTCCTCCATATCTCCCAGACTGCCCTGGAACTGGTTTCGTGAAGGGCTTGTTTGCACCCAGAAAACATGGAGAACGGCTGTCCAGAGGTGAGGCCAGGCAGATGGTGAAATGAATGGGAGTTAGAGGTGACTCTGCAGACGGAGGAGGAGCAGGCCCTGAGGACAGGCAAAAGGTACCGGGGCTGGTGACTGAACCACAGGGCATGTGTGGAGTCACTCCAAAGGGAAGATGGAAGCTGTTCCGTCCTGCAGGCCTGACCGGTGCCTGTGTTCCAGATGGGAAAACAGAAGCCAAGAGGACTTCGGGTGTGTGAGGGGCTCTGCTAGTCAGAAACTTACTCAGGAGGAACTTCTCCTGAGGTTTCCTTGTTCTGAGAAGAGATCCCTTCAAGTTACCCTGCTAGGACACAGCATATAGTCACTTCAGAGGGAAAGACGGGACCGCAGGTCTCGGTGTGAATTCAATTACCAATCCAAGGCCTCAAGGTTGAGTACTGCTTCAAAACACTGAAGGGAGAACGTGGAGGGCCTTGTGGGAGAACAGGGCTCTGTGGGAGCCTAGACATTTAGGACTCACCCAGTCCTCGGCTATTGCAACTGGGGACAGAGTCCACACCACCTCCAGGCACCTGGCTGAGAAGGGGGCTCAGCACTCAGGCTGGGTGGGTCAGGAGGGAGGCTCTCCCCCACAGACCTCAGTTTCCCTCTGCTGTGGCTTTCTCCTTCAGAGGCATGACAAACACTTCTTGGTCTCTGTGTCCGTGAGACTATGAAGAAATACTTAGATTCAGGAATACAATTGTCAATTTAAAAAAAAAAACAGTTTATTAGAAATGGCTCTTTCAAATTTGTAGTATTCTTTCTTAATCTTGAGGGAGACTGAATCCATACCATGATGGCCCTTGAACTGTGCTAGCCCACATTAGATTCAGAAGAAAAACACACTTGAACTGGGGCTCTACTTAAAAAAGGGGGAGGTAGATAGGAGCTGGGGAGATGGCTCAGTGGTGAAGAGCCCTGGCTGATCTCACAGAGGACCTGTCCAATTCTCAGCATCCACATGGTGGCTCACAACCATCCATAACTCTAGATCCAGGGGATCCAACACTCTCTTCTGAACTCCACAGGCACCAAGTACACACATGATACAGATGTGCATGCAGGCAAAAACACCCATCCACTTAAAATAAAAATATATGTTTGGAAAAAAAAATAAGGTAGATAATCTCAGGGCCAGGGCTCAGGCCAGACACCCAAGAGTGACTTCAAAGAGGATGTGGGGGCCGGCCTGCTATCGCCACAGCCAGCTGACTCTACGACATCCTGGAAGCACGCGCTGATAGTGCTCCCTGGAAACAGGCCATGGGGGTGACTGAGAACTGGGAGGAAGGCTGGGACCCTCCCTGCCCACAGCTGCCAGGCCATGTTCAGGAGCCACATATAGACAAGGCCTGGGCAGCAGCCAGTACTTCCCAGTGTCTCAGGGTGATGTTATCGCTGTTCAGGGAACATTCCAGAAGAAACGAGCCTGGTGTTTATTCAACACTTGGCTTCTAAGCAGCACAGAAGCCTGTGGAGTGTCGGCCTGGGCTGCTGCACAGCCTGGGAGCCGCGCATAAGCCCGTGTCTCACACATCCCAGCACCCTCCATTCAGGTCGAGCCTCCTGGAGTCGCGTCCTTCACTTAACTTAACCAAATGAAGTCTACGGGTGCCCTCAGCTCAGGCAGCAGAAAAGGGGGGTTCCTGAGCAGAGGGAGGCTGTGGGCAGTTTGAAAGATGAGATGCCCTCCACTCATTTTTCCCATCATTCAATCATCCAATGACAGGGAGCACAAAGCACCCTCTACCCACGGTCCATGGCTTCCGGCCTGTGGGAAAAGAAACAGTATAAGACAAAGGGTATCACATAGGCGTATGTAAAGCATGCCACCAATGGAAGACCTGGCCACAGCTGCACCCACAGACTGCTCCATCACTCCCCCGGGCCCCTGGCTCTCCAGCATCACCGTCTCCTCACCTCCCAACCCAGTAGGGTTCCAAGGACTGTTCATCTCAGAGAAATGCTAAAAACCCAGGTGCCCAGACCAATTTTCTATTCTGAGAAACCGCACTCCCAGAAGAGTCAAGGGTCGGCAAATTTGAAAATGAAGTCAGGTGGGACACACCTGTGATGCCATCGCTTGGTAGACTGAGGTAGGAGGTTGGCCGCAAGTGTGAGGCCAGCCTGTGCTATGTAGCAACTCTGTCTCAACAACTACGGTCAGAGCAGAGAGCCCTAAATCGAGTGACTGTTCTGAGCATGGGCATGCAGGCTCACACTTTCCCCTTCCCCCCATGACCCCCAAATCCTGGGACCAGAGTAGAAAGAGAAGCAGTGTGGGACATGGCTGTGAGCATTCGGGCTCCAAACTGTTTCATTATGCTACCCAGCTGGTACAAGGCTCCTGCCACACCACTGTGTGGCTACGCCAACCTGACTCTATACTCACAAAGCAATACCAAGTCCTGTGATGTCCTAGTCACCCAAGTCTCCAAGCCTGTTGGAGCGGGGAGACCAGGGTGGGGTACTCGGGGTGCTCCATGCATTCTGATTGTCATACAAATGAAGGCCATCTATAATTTATCCCAGCACACAAGGGTAAGCTGTGTGGTCTGCCCAGGATCAGGGAATCCTGCTTTAGCAGGTTGGCAGCCGGGAATAGCACAGTAGAAATGTAAAAGGGACCTGAGGAGAGGGCACACAACTGGGGAGCAAGTCCAGGCCACACTGCAGTATGGCTCTTGTCTGGCTGGCTGCTGAGAGATGAGGTCCCTCAGTGTCCCAATTACCAGGACTTATGACAGCCTCCCTCCCAACTACCATACACACCCCAGTAAGGATGGAGCAGGCAGATCCAGTCCTGCTTAGGACAGAGGAAAGCCCACGATCAGGGTCTGGGCGCAAGGGGATACTGCTTAGTTGGGAGTCCCTTAGTCTGGGGCCACCGACTTGTCTTCCTGTGCTGGGCATGTTTTGCTGACAAAGTATCCGAGAATGGACTTATGAGAAAAGGTCTGTCCCTGGTGGCTTGTCCCCATGGTGGTGATGTTTGTGTTACTGAAAAATCCAAGAGGGTCCCAATGCACAATGCAGTGTATGAGGGTACACTCCTAAAGATCTAGGTTCACAGGGCCCCGCTTCCTCCCAATAGAGGGTCTCTGGGGACAGTCACAGTAGCATCCCCACAGCCGCCCGTATCTGCTTAGCAGACAACCACCCTCAGAGACGTACTCTGGCTGCCTCCTGCTCCCACTGTCTGACTTCCCTGACCCTATCTTGGTGGCTGGGGCATCCTAAGTTGGGTGTGGCTGCAGAAGCCAGGTTCCACCTCAGGGACCAAGGCACTGCTGTCCCTCAGGGTCATTTCATCTGCTATGTCACTTTCAAATCAGCAAGAAAACCAGGGAACTGTATGTTTTCACAGAAATGTATTGCTATGTAATTCATTCTATAAAGATCAAGAAATACAAAAACAGCAAACTTCCATCACCCACGCAGGGAACCGCTTTCTTTGGATCTGCCGTCCGCGTCCATCCGTGTGAGAGCACATGCTTTGCCTGAAGTAAAATAGGGTAACCACAGCCAACAAACCCCTGCCTGCCCGCGGTGTTCAGTCTCTGGCCAGCTGAGAGACACTCTGCTCTCACACACCGTCACCTTGGGCCACTCCTTTGCAGCGTTTCTGAGGCAGTTCCAGTGATGCCCGCTTGACTTCTCTCCTGCTCAGTCCATGCACGTGTCCTCTGCTGGACTGGCCCTGACCTGCTGCAATTGTCCTGTACATGAAGTTGGCCTGTGGAATGCTCTCCCAGGTAGAACCCTGAAGGATGGCCCTAGGTTGCAGCAGGCATCATGAAAGTGCGTTAGCAACCAGGGCCAGACTGGGGTCACTTCAAGTCGTATCCCAGAAACCTCAGCACACAGAGTGTGAAGACAGGAAACTGTAAGCAGTGCCAGCCACACAGAACAGCACTTGCACCACAGGTGGGTTAAGGCACACATGGTTTCTCTTCATGAGCCCCTAGTCCCCGCCAGCAAGGCAGCTCCAGTGTCTCAGCAGATGGCTGAAATGGGAAATGGCCTCTGACAGAAGGAATCTGAGTCTGTGACCAGGCCTTGCCACACTTTTTTTTTTTTTAATTAGTTAATTTATTTGTTTGTTTTTGAGACAGTGTAGTTCTGGCTGTCCTGGAACTTGCTCTGTATATCAGGCTGGCCTTGAACTCAGAGATCTGTCTGCCTCTGCCACACCCAGTTCAGATCTATTCTCTCTTACCTTCACCAAGGCCCTATGATGTCCATACCAGGACTGGGGTCCTCATCTGCTCTGCCCAGGCTCCACTGCTGCTAGTCCTCACTTATGGGGCAGGAGACCTATGAGGATGAGGCCTGAGCATGTGGGTGCCCCTGTAAAAGTCTAGGGATCACCTTGGGGTGGGGGGGGTGAGAAGTCACATCAGCACCTTCCAGATGTAAGGTGGGATATGGGTCAGTGTGGGTGATGGGATCTGTGGGTGCTGCCCTTGCCTTTCACATCCTGAGAGCCCACAAATGTTAACACGAGTCTATCTTGCCACCAGTCAAGCGACCACAGGGCTGGGCCTGTTCTGCCTCCAGGCGGGACCACTTGTTTCCCTGATCATTGTACTAAATGGCAGCAGCGAGCAGCCTGGGCTGAGAGAAGCCAAAGCCACAAGTAGGTGTGGCCTGGGTGAAGGCAGACCATGTGAGAAGCAAGGCAGCCAGCTGGGCTGCCCTGTTGTGACCAGGGTCCCAAACAGAGTTGGGGAGTAGTGCCATGGTCTCAGGGATGGAATTACTTGATAGGCCCCATTCACACTGGGATAGCCCCTGCAAATCTACACATGAGCAACCACCCAACTCCTCTCCCCCACCCCCCACTAGCGGGGGACCCTGGGCTTGTTCTGCAGATGCCCAGGACAGCTGTCCCAGAATCAGGTCAGTGCCGGAAATCCAGGCGTGGCTGGCTCTCAGTGGGAAGTGAAGCCCCAGAAGGCTGCAGGTCACAGAAGCACAGGCCACAGGTCACTTTATTTGTCCTCCAGCAGCTCTTCCGTCCCCTTCCCTAGGTCTCAGACTGGTCAGGCGGCCACGCAGGTACAGGACAGAATTCAAGAGCTGCTGGCACCTCTACCCACATGTGAGTCCAAGGATCTCACAGCACACACTGTCCTGGTTAGAGTTGGTTGCCACCTTCCAGCTGCATCTGGTGGGCCAGCTGCCGCCCGATGGCCAGCAGGGGACTGGCTCTGTAGGATGAACTGGCCAGCAGCTCCCGAAAACGGGTCCTTTCTTCCTCACTGAAAGAATGGAAAACAGAGGTCAGCACAGGAAGAACAAGAACTCCCAGGACCCACACGACAGGCCCGGGCCTAAGATTAGAGCAGACAGCAGGGGCCCAGAAGCAGCACAAGGTACAGTGCCAGGGCCACAGGGCTTCCAGCAGAGGCAAGGGCACAGGGGCCGCTGAGTGCACATCAACCACAGACGGGGTCACCTTACCAGTAGGTCTAAGAGGAATGTGCTAGGGGCTGCAGCCAAGGCAAAAGCTGACAAGTGGGGAGCAGAGGCAGCTCACGTGCCCTGAAGACAGCCTTATATAAGAGGTGCCTTTCCCCCCAAATAAGCCCAGAATAGATGTGTACTGGAGAGCGCTAAGCAATGGGGCAGTGACACAGCTATGCACACAGGCAACTCCGGGGCCTAGCTTCCTTAGTGACCCTGACCTCTTAGACACACAAGAGCCTTGGATGTCAGGTCCTCTCAGCCTTTCTCTCACCTAGCAGTCACCTTCAGCAGAACCTGGAGACATAAGCCACCAGCCTGTGTTGCTTCTGAATGCGATGTCAGTCAACAAAGAAGGTGTGGTGGTTTGAATGAAAATGGCCTTATAAGCTCATGTTTGAATTTTTGGTGGAACTATCTGGGGAAGATTAGGAGTTGTGGCCTTGCTGGGGGAGGTGTGTCACTGAGGGTAGGCTTTGAGGTTTCAAAACCCACACCAGGCCCAGTCTCTTTTTCTGTAAAGCTCTCGGCCGCTGTCCCAGCACCATGCCTGTCTGCTTTCCACCTTGAGGATCATGGATTAAACCTCGAAAACTGCAAGTCAGCTCCTAGTTAGAAGCTTTCTTTTATGAGTCGCCTTGGTCATGGTGGCTCTTCACAGCACCAGAAGAGAGATTAAGACAGGTGGGGAAGACGTAGGAGGTGCAGCAACAGAAGAAGCTGCGGGGACGGGGCACCTTCCAGCAGGTAGAGCTGCGGCTCATCCCAGTCACGGTGCAGAGGGAGCTGCCCTGGTCCAGGCTGGGTTATAGCAGAGGCTCAGGAGAGCAACTGCCAGAGAACAGTAAGGTGGATGCTCGCTCAGCAGAACTGTTTGCACTAGCTGCCCTCAGACAAAGCGGCTGAGAAAGACGTATGTTCGCAGGAGAGGGAAAAAGAAAGGCATATAGGTCCGCAAGGAACCAAGAAAGACAGATTGAGAGGTGTGGCGGAAAGATGGGGAAGCCTGAAATGCACGATGGAGCTCCGAGGCTGAGGACTGGGAATCAGTCTGCAGAACAGGAATGAGGCTAGCTGGGCCTACTGCCTGGGCCTGCTGGGCCTACTGCCTGGGCCTGGAACTCCAGCTGTTCAGAAGGCGGACACAAGAGGACAAAAACTTCAAGGCCTGCCTTGGTCAGAGAGAGCAAGTTCAAGACTAGCCTGGGTAACTTAGTAAGAACTATCTCAAAAACGAGCAGGGCAGTGGTGGCGCATGCCTTTATTCCAGCACTCGGGAGGCAGAGACAGGTGGATCTCTGTGAGGTCGAGGCCAGCCTGGTCTACAAGAGCTAGTTTCAGGACAGGCTCCAAGCTACAAAGAAATCCTGTCTTGATTTAAAAAAAAAAAAAAAAAAAAAAAAGCTTTAACCTATACAATGAAAGAACAGGAAGAGCTTCAGGAAAAATTGACACAGAACACTCAACACTACTAAATAACAGAGGTTCTATACATAGACAAGGGAAAAAAAAAGATCATTTTGGAAGCAAAAACAACAAATAAACAGAAAAAAAACACGCGTGGGTGTGAGATTCAGGCTGCCTCAGATTCCCCTAAAGCCAGCACACCACTGCAGCCAAGTCTGCAGAGGTCAAAGAACGAGCCAAGAATCTCCTGGCCACGCTCACATTTTAGTACAATGTCAGTCAGCCAACGGGACAATACCGCCAATGGGACAAGGTGTAGGGGTTGTGTGTGTCTAACCCACGGTAAGCACATGTCCCAGCCACCGTACCAGAGGCTCAGGTAGGGAAAGCTCCATACACAGATGCTGTCACCACTCCCTGGAATCACTCCAGATAGGCGTCCAAGGCCTAACTACAGGACAGCAAAGTTCTTAGTCCCAGCAATGTCTCCCATCTAGAGTCAGAAGCCAAACCAGGCCAGAGAAGATGGTGGGAGGCTGGGGTGTAGATGAGATCAGGAAGAAGGCCCCGGTGGCCCCGGGGGTAGGGTTGTACTCACAGGAGCTGCTGTCTCTGGGCTGTACTCATCCGGCTAAGCTCCACTGGCCTGGGCTTGCTGGTCACCCTCCTGTGGACACAGAAAATTCAAGTCAGTGACACCACACTTCACTAGGAAATCTGTCTCTGTGGCTCCCCTAGTGTCTACACCACCAGGAGTTCATGAGCTCCACACTGTACACTGGCTGTAGGTCTAGATGAGCTGTGGCACCTGGGTCCCATAACCACAGTATCCAGGGTCTTGTCTTACTCCCTAAGGTTCCTGTGTGATACAGAAAGACATCACCCTAGGAAAACAAATCACATCTGTACCCTGAGTCTGCCACCTGTCCGACCTGAATGCAAAAGCCTTCCAGGCAGCAGCCTGCCCTGGACCCTTTACTCCACTAACCTTAAAACACATCGCACTTCCTGACAAGACACAGGTACCTGACATCTGTCCCCTCACTTCTGATGAGAGAACAGAGAGCTCTACCAGAGGTCTGCGGCAAATGCCACTCCAACGTGACCTTAGGAGCCAGACATGAACCCCGTGTCCGCCCTACTGATGTCAAAGTGCACTGAGAAACTTGCCTGCTGACCTCCAGATGAGGGTACCCTGAAAAGATTCTCAGAGTCTTCTAAGCCACCGCACTGGGTCTGACATTAGGGGTTAGTCTGTGAGTCTGGGGCTCAGTGCCAGGTAGCAATCTCCTAAGGTCGACTCTGATGGCTCCAGCCATGCCAGGAGCATTCTTGCAGGTCCCCAGGAACTGAATCAGTCTTTGGAATCTCTGCCCAGCAATGGCAGAGAGGACAATCCCAGAGCCCACCACCACCTGACAGGATGATTTCAGAGATGCCATGCTGAGCAAGTGAAGGAGGAGCGCTGAGCGGGAGGCAGCAGAGGGAGGGCAGAAAGCACCGTGTCCTGGAGCAGTATCTAATCTAGACTCCTGAGAGCAGACCTGGGCTCCTAGTCAAGCTCCTTTTCAACTATGAATGCACAACACTTCTGTCTTCTCAGGGCTCCTCACATCCTGGTCTCTGGTCCCCAGTTGGTTAGGATGGTGACCTCATGCCTGTTTGTTAGTCCTCCCAGAGGCCCCAGAATCCACCGTGGTATGAGAAGACCCTACCTAAGCAGTGGTGGCCAAGGTCTCCAGCCCAGTCTGGACAGGAACAGCGCCTCAGGTGACCTAGCTAGGGAGCTCCCTCAGCCCCACTGGCTGTAAAATGCAGTCCGGGGCCTCTCTGAGTCCGGAGACTGCAGTCCAGGTCTCACAGACCTCTACGCAGAGGCAGAGTGATCCTGAACTCAGACACTGGGAACAAGAACACAGCCTAACTAACCCTGTGAAGTTCTTCCACGGACAGATAGACAGGGGACTTCCTAGAGCGCAGCCCCATATGGTGTTTCATAACTGAAAAATTTAAAACTAGTAGATTTCCAAACATACAACAGCCAAAAATAGATTCAGAACCAAAGGCGAAATGAATCCAGGATGTTTTTGGCAGAGTTTGCCTGAGTTGCATCATGCACCTTTACTGCAGCCTTGGTCCTGAATGCTCCCAGCATGCAATGCCAACCAGCAGTGTGCCTGACCTGTCAGCTCGGATTCAAGGCTGTTACACGGGAGCAGTGGCAGTGTAAGGTTTATGGCTCTCAGAGAAGCATCATGGTCAGCTGGGGAAACAAAGGCTTGTAATGTGTTCTTATCAGTATCAAGTCAGGGGGTCTTCGCGCTGCATTTATACAACCCTTGATTTAAAAATTTCTGTTTGACAACCTAGATGCCCCTCAACTAAGGAAAGGATAAAGAAAATGTGGTACACTTATACATGGAGTAATTCTCAGCTGTTAAAAAAAAAAAGACACCAGGAAATTTGAAGGCAAATGAATGGAACTAGAAAACAGTCATCCTGAGTGACATAAAGCAGACCAAGAAAGATAAGCATGGTGTGTGTCCACTTGTATGTGGAGAGCAGCTGCCAAATGAAGGAGAACTTTATAACCACAGCCCAGAGAGGCCCGAGGCAGGACACATGAATCTCCCTGGGAAGGGGGAATGGAGATTTTTTTGAGTAAACTAAGGTGAGCGGGGATGGGAACATGAGCGATCAGGTTGGGGGGTTACAGAAGGGTAAGAGTACTAAAACTGACTACTGGAAATGGGGAGGGTATCTTGAGGCCAGGTAAAAACCTGGCATAAGGGAACCTCCCAGGAATCCACAAAGATGACCACAACTAAGACTCCTAGCAAAAGAGGATACGAGACCGGAACTGGTCATCTCCCGTGACCAAATTGGTGTCTGACCCAACCGTCATCAGAGAGGCTTCATCAAACAACTGATAAGAACAGATGCAGACCACAGTCAAACATCAGGAAGAGTTGGGGGAATCCTGCTCCTGAAGATGAGGAGGAAGGACTGTAGAAGCTGGAGGGTCAAGACCACCACAAGAAAACTCACAGAATCAACTAACCTGGTCATAGGAGCTCAGAGAGACTGAACCAATAACCAGGGAGCCTGTGTGAGACTGATCTGGGCCCTTTGCATGTGTTACAGTTGTGTAGCTTGGCCCTCTTCTGGGACTCTCAACAGTGGAGACAGGGGCTATAACTCTGACTTAAGGATATAGATACTCTACATCCTTAAAAAAAAATGTACAGTCAGGATTTATTATTTTTTAAAAAAGATTTGTTTTTAATTTTACTTATGTGTGCATGTATGTGTCTGTGAGTGGATGCCAGGAGTACAGGTGCCCACAGAGGTCAGAAGAGGGCGTAGGAGCCCCTGGAGCCGGAGTTACAGATGGCTGTGAGCCACTCAGCGTGGGTGCTGGGAAATGAACCAGGTACTCTGCAAAAGCAATAGGCATTCTTGATCACTGACCCATCTCTTCAGCCCAAGATCTGATTCATGTTAAACAAGCATATTCACCTCATCAGTATACAAATATGCTTTTATCTTTAATAAAGGCAAAATTATATATATCCTACATGATTGTTCTAAAATAAATTTTTGATTTATGATTTATTCTGTCAGTGGTTGATTTGTACAGCTACCTTATAAACCTATGTACTTGGAGCCATATAAAACCTTCCCGGGAATAGGGCATAGTGGCACACATCTTTAATCTTAGGACGTGGGCCAAAAGACCTCCGTGAGTTTGAGGTCAGCCTGGTCTACAAAGTGAGTTCCAGGCCTGCCAGAGACCCTGTCTCCAAAAAAAAAAAGAAAGGGGGAAAAAAGTACTCTCAGGTGTGAAGAGGCCATGAATAGAAAAAGCATAAGCCCTGTCATAGAGATTTCCTTTCTTTTTATTGTTTTTGTCTTTTAAGACAGGAGTTCCAGGGGTTCTACAGTTCTGGTTGATCTGTAGACCAGTCTGGCTTCAAACTCATATACCTACCTGTCTTTGCCTCCAGAGTGCTGGGATTAAAGACATGTGCCACTGTAGCCAGCCTATTCTAGAGAATTTCATCTCTCATAAGTAGGTTGGTTGGTAATAACATGGTCTACAAGGTCTAGTCCTTCGGGGTTCCTGCTATATGTAAGAGTCTGCTAGACATTCTGCAGAACACAGAAAAATGTGATGGACAAACTGCCAGTATAGGCAAAACCATCTCTGAAAGTTCCTCCTTCGTGGAAAAGTCTGCTAGATACTATGGACTTATAGGCTGAAGATGGATGCCCCCAACGGTACAGAAGAACATTGGGTGACTGTTCAGGTAGCAAGATGTCTCTGTCAATTCTAGAATGTTGGAAGTTGTTTGCAATGCACATCCTGTTAACTTTATATCCTTCTGGAGTCTTTGATGAAGTTGAAGAATAGATAGATATAAATATTGTAACTGTAATTCTTGCTTGATACCTGTTTTGTTATATACAATTTTACTATGTTAAAGTTAAAACCTTCTTTTTTATTTAAACAGAAAAAGGGAGGTGATGTGGGAGTCCCCTCTGTGTGCTGTGATTACCATTAAAGAATAAAGAAACTGCCTTGGCCTGTTGATAGGGCAGAACTTAGGTAGGCAGGGAGGACTGGACTGAATGCTGAGAGAAAGAAGGGTGGAGTCAGACAGATGCCATTGAGCTGCCGAAGATAGACGTGCTGAAATTTTGCTGGTAGGCCACGATCTCGTGGTGAGATACAGATTAATATAAATGGGGTAAATTAATATAAGAGTTAAACAATAAGAAGCTAGAGCTATTGGGCTAAGCAGTGTTTTAATGAATATAGTTTTGTGTGGTTATTTTGGGGCTGAGCAGCCAGGAACTAACTAGCTGCTTCCCACAACAACAGTCTACCTCAGGAATCCTGTAGACCCTCCAGCCTAGTTCCAGGAGAGAGAGCAGCCACTACAGGGGGTACCTGGAGGGTATTGTGACCCTCCAGTCTAGCTCCAGAGAGAGAGCAGTCACTACAGAGAGTACTTGGAGAGTATTGTGAAGACCCTTAGGCCATTCTGACATGCAACAGTACTAGGCCATACCATGGACTTGCAGTAGATCCCATGGTATGGGAGAAGGTCACAGGACTGTCCCACATAAAGTCCCTTTGAGCCTAGGACATGAGGGGGGCAGAAAGTGTGGCCATCAGACATAGCACCATTCTTCCCACTGTGAAAAACACTGTCCTGGAAAAGGCCAGTTAGGCATTAGGTGGCCAAGGGGCTGGCAGGGTGCAGGTATGGAGAAGAGTGGCCGAAGGCAGAGTCACTGGCATGTAAACATCCCCAACTGCAGTCCTCAGTGCTGGGTGAGCCTCCCACCCTGACTTTAGCTCTGCCTCTGGGACTCCCCATGTTCTGTTGTGTGTCTCTTCCCTTTCCTGTACAACCATGACTATGATGTAACAGCTCTCTCGGAGACCACTGAATACTTCCCGAACCACCACAGTGGAGTGCATGCTCGTAGTTGCTACAGTGAGGACAGTCTTGGAAGGCTCTCCTAACTCCAAGTACACATGCTTGGGTTGGTGTGTGTACTGGAGCATCTGCTCTGTCAGAAGTCAGACTCTGAGGTGACCAGCACTCCAGTCTCAGATCCTGCTGTCTGGCATCATTCCCCAAGGCAAGGAACCAGGCTCCCTGGAGAAACACCTGGTACCAGGACCAGGCAGAAGATGCCTAAGGAGAGATCCCAGCATCTGTTAACATCAGAAGGTGAGTAAGCCCTCAGACACACCCACCCCACGGATGGGCAGACCAGAGCCATCAGGGAGCTACTGAAAGAAATGCCGGTGGCCACTGCTGAAACAATTGCAGTTTAAAGGAAGTGGCGTTGGATGATAGCCCAGAGCATAAAGTAGACACTCATGAGTACTCAAGAACATAAACCAATGATGGGGAAATACTCAGGGAAGAGAAAAGATGCCTCTGCAGTAGAAAGCAAGACTCTGCAAACCCTGTCCCGAAGAAGAGGGAACATAGCTCCCCACCCTGGGCCCAGCGTGGCCACGCCCTTCCCAAAGGCACAGAGTCCAGCACAATGAGCGTCCTGGGAAACACCTCCTCTGGGCGCTTCAGTGATGAGTTAGGCTGGCAGTGAGTGCATGGATAATGACATGAAGAAGGCCTCAGTCTGCATGAGCTTCCTCCCAATAACCCAGGTCTTCTCTACCTGGGGTAAAAAACATGGGGTGGGGCATGGTGAAAAAGGCTCAACTCACTGGGTGGTGGTAGCGCACGACTTTAATCTCAAAATTCAGGAGGCACAAGCAGGTAGATCATTTAGAGGCCAGCCTTGTCTACAGAGCGAGTTCCAGGACAGCCAGTGCTACACAAAGAAACCATGTCTCAATCTTCCCCTCCCTCCCAGCTCTCCCCAAATGCCTGTCTCAGTCTGAAAAGCTCACACTCAGGAGGAGCCTGAGGAAGCAGGAGGACCACATGTCAAGTTCCCTCCAGTAAATTACTATTTCCTTTTGTGGTGTGCATTCACATAGGTGTGCTCACATAGGTATGCACATGTGTGTGAGTGTGTGTGCATGCACATGTGAAGACCAGAGATCAACTCCCAGCATCTTCCTCAATAGCTCTACCTCACTTTACTTGGATTATCAATTTGGCTAAACCAGCCGGCCAATGAGCTCCAGAAATCTTGCTGTCTCCACCCACGTGGCACTGGGGCTACAGAGCCATGTCCGGATTTTTACATGGGTGCTGGAGATCCAAACTCAGGCCACCAACAGTGCACAGCAAGGACTAGACAGACTGAGATGTTTCCTCAATCCCCTAATTACTGCTTTAAATTTAGAGTGTGAGCAAAGCACTCAGGGCTGGGACAAGATGGGAACCTTCTCCCATCACAGCTGAAGCAGCCCTGAGCAGGCACACAGTCCCAACACGTTCCTCCCTGGACTGGTAGAGCAGACTGTTTATGCAGCTCTCCCCATTCTGGGAGCCCCAAGCACATTTTTCAGATGAGAAACTATAAAGAGGGAAGGGACCCTTGACCAGGGTCACATTTTTTTGCTTAAGAACCAGGAATGGAATCTGCATCGCTGGCTCTGTTCAGCTCGAGGCTTGACCTTGTGTCAGCGCCGAATCTGGCTTGAACAGAATGGGTGTTCCATCTTGGGAAGCCACCCCTTGGCCATTTGACTTCACAGCATGCTATCCACCTGCCCCACGATAAGGGTGAGGGTTCACAGATGAAGTGTACATAACCTTTGCTTTATCCCCAGATGAAAATTCAGTAGGAGAGAGGATTGTTTTAGAAGGTAAAATAAGAAGAAACAAGCCTCGTGGTGGCTTACAACTGTAATCCCAACACTTAGAAGGCGGAGGCAGGAGAACAGCATTAAGTTCAAGGTTGGTCTGAATTATACGATGAGTTATAAACCCTCAAATAAATAAATAAGTAAATGAATGCATGAATGATAAAAAACCAAAAACCAGTAACGACAAAGAGACACTGAAAGCCCAGCAACTACGAGAGCAGAGAGCCCTGAAGCTGCTCCCCCTGCCCACGAGTGCTGCTCTGCACTTTTGAGTGCCCCTTGCCCTGTGCCCATTCTTCATTCCTTCACTGCGCAAACAGGTTAGACAGGCTTAGGGCTGGGTAGGGTCCATGCCCACTAACTGAGGTCTTCCCACAGAGTGCCCACATACAGACACTCACCCTTAGTGGGGATCAGGGGACAGAGGAACACAGGCAGGTGGCAGGTGAAGGACTGAGAACGGGATGTCAGAACTGTCTGCAAGGGGCACAGGAAGGTCACTGGACACACAGCAATGGCCACAAGGCCCGTGTGCATGCGTAGGCTGGACACTGAGGTGAGTGAGAAGAAGGCCGAGGAAACACACTGATGGGTTAGCCAGGCTGCCACCAGGGTAAGTCTGGGTGCGCCTTTCATAACAGCCACCACACCCAAGGCTGAGGCTCTGTGGGTCCCATGGGGCTTGAGTGCTGACTCACTCACCTTGCGGAGATGGGAGCCTTCAAAGACCGCTATCGATCCCTCCCTTCCCCTCTGAACCCAGGGCTGTGGGGATCCAGGGCTGACCACAGCTCTGGAAGAGATGGTCAGTACCAGACACTCACCTTCTGGTTTGCTGCTGTCGACTGGCCTCCAGTTCCTGCAGCTCAGGCAGGGCATCCCTCAGGGGGTGCAGGTCGCCCACCACCACCGTGGCCTTGCGCCTTCGCTCCTCCTTGAGCTTCTGATCAGCCAGCTTGATGGCTTCAATTTCTGAGGGGAGAGACAGAAGTACATGCACATTAAACCCGTTCCCCAGAAACCCTCCCAGAGGCCACCAATGCCAAGGCACCCACTGATGCATACATCCTGGGGCCTGCTTGTTCCCACAGAACAGAGTGTTGTTTCCCCTCTGTCACGAGCTCTGCGCCCCTAAAGACTTGGGGGGAGGCAGCTCTAAGTTATTTTTTTCTTCTTAATCACAGAGGCACACTTTAATTACAGGGCTGACTTGAGCTTAGAGCTGCAGCACAGGGGACTTCCCCCCCCGTAAGTGGTACAGTGCAGGGCCCAGGCACACAGACAGGGGGCTGAGGCGCCCTACAGTGCTGGGTCTGGGCACACAGACAGGGGGCTGCAGCATAGAGTCTGGGCACACAGACAGGGAGGTTGGTTCAGGGACAGTGGGCACATAGACACAGGGGGCTACAGTACAGGGCCCAGGCACACAGACACAGGTGGCTGGCAGTGGGCAGATGTAGTCCTGAGCTCCATATCCTTAGGTCTATTACTAAGAAACCACAATATCCTTTTTATCCTGGGCAATCTAGAACCATGTGACACCTCCTTGAGACTGCAAGATGGGGACAAGGGTCATGGGGAGGAATTGACAACCCAGGGAACAGCAGGGAGCAGGGTGGGCGGCCAGGTGGCATGCACAGCACTAATGGAAGAGAAAGTTCACTGCAGGGCACAGCCTTGGGATTGGATTTTCTTCAGAAGATGGATTTAATTCCAAATTGCTAATACGACAAGTGCTTAAACTTGCTATTTACTGCAGGTGGCTGTGGGTGTACGCAGTTCTGGGACAAAGCCCCACTCTCTCTGGGTGGCATAGCAACACAAGGACCTTTAGTCAGACACTTCAAACACATGCTGGCCCTAACAGAGGAGTGAGGCCACCAGCAGCTTCCCTCTTAGAAAGGTAGAGGCACCTCTGCCACCTACTCCAGCTGGGAAGATGCCTCTCCCCAGGCAGGTCAGAGAGGCCCAACCTGACCCCCCCAGGCAGGTCCAACACAGCAGGGGCTATCACTTCACCCTGAGGCAGACAGTCCTCCAAGCCCTCTGCCCAACGCAGCCCGCAGCCAGAGAGACTTGGTGGATTTATAAAGCGACAATCTGGTGGTTTTTTTTTTTTTTTTCAGGCTAGCTGGAACAGAGTAAACAATTCACTTAGCACCCCATCACACCCGCCCCTCTCCCCTGAGCCAAAGTTTGGGGGCTGAACTTCCCTAGCAGAAAGAAGTGCGAGGGGCCACCCTCTTACACATACCTGGCAGACCCAGAGAAAGAAGAGCGAAGCTGAGAAAGACATGGAGCCCTAACACACACAAGCAAATCCAAGCCAGAGATGCCCAAACAGGGCAACCCAGGGCATGCAAGGATAGTTTGGTGTCTGGAAGTTGTTGGAACCCACAATGAACCATGGTAATGCTGGCTAAAAGGAAAAAACCCTGGATGTGCCAGAAGAGATGTGGTAAAACTCACTATCTACTCATGGTAAAAGATACAATGAATCCATAAACAGATCAAAGATAGTAAATATCTCATTTCTACTGAGCTCAACAAGATGGGGCCAACCGCAGTCTCCTGGCGCTCACTCCCATCTGGCAGCTCACTGCTACCAGTGAGGCAGGGCGACAGAGGTGGGAGAAGTGGAAATGGTGGGGGTCAAGGTGGATGTCTCAATCCCTACCCCACACTGCAATTGGACTTTAACCAAACTGAGCTGGGAAATTAATCTAAATCCTATTCTTACACAAACAAAACAAAACAAAACCCTCAAGTGCCAGAGACAGGAGGGTAAGAAGTTCAGTTTCCAGGACAGTCCAGGATATTCAAGACCCCGTCTCCAAATATGAAAATCTCACAGTGAACAAAACATTATTTCAGCAGAACAAGCAGGAAAGCAGAAAGTGAGTACTACTAACCCTCAAAATAAACAAGAATGGAGTCCAGAGCACAGTCCAGACAAAGACAGAGCAGTGGCCACAGCTGCTGCTGCCCCTCACTCCCTGACCCGGAGGATGAGCTACTTGAGACTCTAAGTAAGTAGAGAACCAGCAAAAGCCCAAACACAGGGAACCCAGGGAAGGAAATCCCAGCTGTGAGATGCAACTACTGAGCTGCCGAGCCTCAGATGGGCGCGTGAAGTGGGAGTTAGCTGTGGGTAGTGAGAAGTGCAGTCCTGGAGGACACCGGAAGCAGGAGAGTCTGAGCAGGCCACAGTGTGAAGGGCCATCATCAGACCATGCTTCCTCATTCCAGGGAGGGAGACCATTCCTCAGGGGTCTGGCACTGGGGAGGTTAAGTCAACAGGCCAAGTGGAACAAAAGGGAGGGAGGGACAGGACAAAGATAAAGTTTGGGACAGTTCCGCACAGTGGTAGCCATGAGAGGTATTGTTACAGGTCCCAGAGAGTCTAGTGTGTGTAGCTACCAACCCCAAGATGTGACCTTAGCAAGATCACAAAATAAAAAGTTATTTAAAAACAAAACAAAACAAAAAAAGTGTACTTTTACAACTTTTAGAAGTTTGTCCAAAACAGCGCACGCGCGCACACACACACACACACACACACACACACACACACACACAAAACATCTATTACACTGATAATGGAAATTAAGGGAGCTAATAGCAATGATGAGGAATATCGTGCTCCTGGACTTGATTCAGTGCTGGTGGCAAACCCTCCTGAAGGTGACCAACAGACTCAATGCGACCCCAGTCACAATCCTGCTAAACCGTTGTCTTTACAGAGACTGAAAAAGAAACAGTAAAATAAAATGGCCATGCTGATCATCAAGAACACCCAGAGCATCCTAGGACAAAGGAACAGAGGAAACCTGTGTCCGCCTGCTTGAACTATGGTGATCACGAGCCACAGCAGAGCATGGAACGGAGCAAAGCCACAAGACTCTCAAAACAACAATCCAAAGAGGAAAACAGTCTGCATCAGACTGTGGTGACCCACCAATTCACAGCAGACAGACACCACTTCTAAGGGACCACACCTAAGGACTAGCTAGGTTCCAGCTCCTTCAAAACAAGCATCTCCATGACTTCAGGTTAGGTGCTCTTTGGGGTTGGTTTGTTTGTGACACAGAGTCTATTACACAGTACTGGCTGGCCTGGAACTCACTATGTAGACCGGGCTGACCTCGAACTCACAGAGATCAACCTAGGCAAGGCTTTCTTAAACTAAACAAAACACATGATAACCCTATGGAAAAAGAAATATGAGTTAGATCTTTTTAAAATTAAACTCTTGCAGTTAAAAAAAAAAAAGGCAGGCAGTGGTGGCACATGCCTTTAGTCCCAGCACCCAGGAGGCAGAGGCAGGTAGATCTCTGAGTTCAAGACCAGCCTGAGATACAGAGAGAGCTCCAGAACAGTCAAGACCATAGAGAAGTCCTCCCTCAAAAAAGAAAAAAAAAAAGTTAAGATACTAAATGGGCAAGACAGTCTGCAAGGAATACTGCACACATGGCTGACCAGGACGAGCAGGTCTCCCAAACACACAGCTGATCAGGGACAGCAGGTCCCCAGTACAGCACAGCAGACCGGAGCCAGCGGATGCCAGCACACACAGCTAGCAAAGGCAGCAGGTTCCCGGCACAGAGAGGGCCCCCAAGCTCAATAATAAAAACACAGAGCAGCTAGAGAAAAATGAACCTCACTAAGGATGAACTGCAAGGGAGATGTACCCACGACAGCACTGTTCCACAGAATGAAGACCAGCAGTCCACGAGTGTTAGCCCATGTCTCCAGGTACATGACTGAAGACTGGTCAGCACGGCTGTGTGGCCACCGCAACTCTCATGCTGCTAGAGGGGGCACATGAGCGGCTGCTTCAGAAGAATGTCTGGTAGTTGCTTATAAAACGAAACATACACCTGCCCTATGACCCACATTCCATTCCTGAGTATTTACATAAGAGGAATAAAAACATGTCCACAGAAAGACTGGAACAAATGCTCACACAGCCTTACTCGACAAGATGGGAAGGCAGATATCCATCAACACCACAGGGCAGCAATGATGGACACAAACAGTGGGATGTCTCTCAGCCATAGGGCTGACCACTGCCACGAGCAGTGCGGCGTGGCAGGAAGGCAGAACATGGCCTGTGGGAGAGCACTCCCAGGAGACAACTGCAAACCCAACCACAGACACACTGGACATGGCACCTCACCCTGGGCAGTCAGGTAGCAGACACAGCTGTCAGAAGTCACTGTTGTGCTTGGTGAATACACTCCTCACAAGAGAACAGGCTAAACGCTAGCCGACCTATTTGTGGGCAGGTATACAAATGCTCCTAACTCGCTTCGAAACGCACTGAGATGCTGAAGCGTAGACAGGAATGGACCAATGAACGGTTGTGAGATAAAGAAGTACAGTGCTAACTGAAGATGCAGCTGCCGCTGTGCTCAGGACCAGAGAGTCAGACAGGAGCTAACAGCGCAGAGAAGACAATTGGACTAGTGATTAGTAGCCAGGATTCTCAGACTAGAGATGAAGCCTCTTAATGAATCTAAGCAGAAACAGCAGAACACAGATACAAACGACAAGATAAACTCAGCAGGTAACAGCTCTGAGGACCTAGGTTCAACTCCCAGCACCCACAATGTGGCTCACAACCGACTACAGCTCCAGTCCCAGGAGATCTGATACCTTCTTTTGACCCCTGTAGGCATGCACGCCAAGCAGACATACACAGAAGATACCTAATGAGAAAGCAGGGCTGGAGATGTAGCTCAGTGGTACATTTGTCTAGCATAAGAAAGACCCTACGTTCAATCCCCAGCACTGGAGAAGGATTTGGGGGCAGGGGGACAGAGGAAGGAAGAAGCAACACACAGCCTCTTGTGAATAATGTCTGAGATCTGATTAAATTAGACTATTTTTGAAGAAATCATGAGCAATCAAATGGATCAACCACCAGGAACAAAAGGTTCCACAGCAAAGAAGCACACCTCTGACACGGTCAGGTCCCACAGTTGAAGCCTCAGCATTTACTGCTCCACAGAGAACATACTGCACAATCTTTTGCTAGAAATTGTGAGAAAGTGAAGAGACAGCCTATTTCTTAAAGCCATCTATAAAGTAACAAAATAGGAAGCTAGGAATCTCTAAGGAAATCAATCAATTCCTATAAACACTGCCTCCAAAAAACCACCCTTTTCTTTAAAGTTTTCAAGAAAAAAAAAAGAGAAATATTAGCTTATTTTCAAGAAAAAATAAGGTAAGTCATATTTAAACATGCAAGTATATAAAAATGAAAATACTCCAAATTAACTCCTAAAGTTGGCAGAATCACACTAAAAAGATAACAGCTAAGAAAAATAACTTACAAAGCATTCTATACAATTTTCAAGTAAACACAAGAAAACACTTAGGAAAAGTCACACATAATCAACATTATGGGAAAAATAACTACCTAGTACAGGAAGGGAGCGAGGGAGAGCTGCTCCATCTGCTCCAGATGCCTGACGGAGACTGAGACCAAACCCAACCCCAGACAGGCCGGGCGAGCTGCTGTACTCCCGCAGACCTTCAGCTGCATGACAGGGGCACGGAGACCAGGAGTTCAAAGTCAGCTTCGCATACCCAGGAAAGTTAAGCCAGCCTGGGCAGTAGGACTCCATCCTCAGCCAGACCTGGAAGGACCCACAGGCAGGCCTAACCTCTGTGGGGTTTTGACCCCGTAGATATACGTGTCACCTCTGTAGTTAAAGCTTTCATTGTGGTGTCCCAAACAGACCCTGTATCCAAAGGGACAGAGAACAACTTTCAAGATGGTGTTCTACAGAAGAGGAAGCAAGGAGGTTGCAGTAAGCTCACACTGTGGGTCTATGTTCACTCTGGGGACAAATCACCTCATGCTGTCCTGTTGCCGACTCCCTCTATGTGGCCGAGAGAAGCCAGTGACTGACTGCTGCTAAGGCTTCCTAGTGAGCTCCTGCTGGATCCCATCAGGGGCTGTGAGGACAAGGACATGACCAACATCCATGGGGCGGAAGTCCAGCCATGTGGCACGGGTGTCTGAATGAGGACAAGACAAGTTTGACTAATTCACAAGATGACGATATGAACTTACTCTGTAGCCACCGCTCATGGCGAAGCCTCAGTTTTTCCTTCTTGGGCAAAATGGTCTTTGGCTCTGTACCTGAGGAGAGAGAGCATATGAGTAATTAGTGAGGTCAGACAGAGTCTTTCAGCCCAGGTCCCTCCATCCCTGCAGAGGTTAAACATGCCCAAGTGAAGAACAGTCCTACACCCTCAGCCTCAAGGCTCCACATAGCAGGGGACCCCTATGTTGGAACAAGGCTGTAAGGCTCTCCAAGCTCAGCTGGGCCCCCAGTATATTTGGGGTAATGTGAGGTTGCCTTGGTGTCAACCAGGTCCTAGGCATGACATACCTCCACCTTGCTTGCCAGCATTAGGACAGAAAACCTGAGAACAAAGTCCCCCGGAGACCTCCCATCACCATACACCAGCCTGCAGCCTCTCGTCTCTGGCTCTCCACCCTGTCTTTACTGGTGGTAGCTTCGCCTGCCTGGCTTTATCCTCTCCTCCTTGTGCTGCTGGCCTCAGATAACCCGCTATGGTGTGCTGGCACATCCCTACTGTAAGGGCTGGACTGTGTTCCAAGTCCATGTGCTACAGTGCTAACTAACTCTTGGTTCTTTAGAATGGAATGGCAGGCGGCCAGGCATGGAAGTTCATGCCTATTATAATCCTAGCACTCAGGAGGCTGAGGGAGGAGAACTGCCATAAATTTGAGGCCAGCTTGGGCTACAATGTAAATTTCAGCTACAAAGCAAGACCTTGTTTCAAAATATTTTTTCAGAAGGAAAAGCAGTATGACTATCTTTGGAGACAGGGAGTGATGTGTAGTTCTGAATGTCAACTGGACATACTGGGAAGGTGGTCTCAATGAGAATCATCTAGATCATGTTTGCCTGTAAGGAATTTCCTTAATTGGATTGAAATGGGAAGGTCCACATCCTACTGCTTCGGTGATCTGGGCAGGAGTGGGAGGAATCAACTTCCTCCTCCCCAGAATTCTCCTGCTCTCCTTGCATCATTTCCACTTCCTGTCTGGTTTTCCCACCTACACATCCTGCCTGGCCAATCAGCATTTATTTAAAACATGATTAACAGAATACAGACAATTATCCCACACCATACGGGTGCACCACCGCACGGGCTAAGCCCCAGACTGAACGGAAGGAAAAGAGGGCAAGCTCCGCATAGCATGCTTGCATCGCTTCATAGCTCTCAGCTCTTGACTGTGGGTGTAATGTGACCAGCTGCATCGAGTTCCTGAATAAGCTGTTTCGGCCAATGACATAGCAGAGCTAAGCCAGGCAGGGAAATCTGAATAGAGACAGAGAGAGAGAGAGTAGGTGGAGTCAAGGAGACCACACCATGTAGCTGCAGAAGGAGAAAGACACCAGAAACTTACTGTGGCCTGTGGTAGGCCACAGCCTCGTCATGATACACAGATAATAGATATTAATTTAAGATGCAAGAGATGAGCTAGCTAGGAATACACCTAAGCTATCAGCCAAGCAGTGTTGTAATTAATATAGTTTTTGTGTGATTATTTGGGTCTGGGAGGCTGGACAGCCAAAGAACAGTCTTTACTTACACATATATGCAGGCAAAATACTAACACAATTAAAAAAAACAAACAAAATCATTTTTTAAAGGAACAGGGTTCACATACAAAGGCAGTTTAAGTAGAACAAGATCCCCTTCACAAATGAGGTCATGGCCCTGATCTTACTGACTGGTATTCATATGAGGACCATGAGACAGGTGCACTCAAAGGGAAGGCAACACAGAGAAGACACCATCTGCCAGCCAAGGAGGACCAGGAGAACCAAGGCTTCCTTGTCACAACTGGATCTCGCAGTTCTAGCCTCCAAAACCACTGAGACAATACACATTTAAGACACTGGGTCTGTGGTACTGCCAGACAAGACCATCTTCTCAGAAATGATGAAGAGCAACCAGCCAGGCAGAGGACTTCTCTGTGGCTGAATGTTCATTTGCCTGGGGACATTTAAGAACACAGGCTATATCTCCACCAGGAACCAGATGACATGGCCCCATTTTTCAAAGGAGAAAACCAAGGGTCACCATTGCATGCTCTGTGGTAACATCAGTTAGACCCACCCAATTAACCAGAAGTTGGCTGACTGTGGAACAGAGACGACCAGGCTGTGTGAGCAGAAAGCACCGAGAACAATGAGAGCACTGCCAGCAGGGCTCCCTCTTCTCTGAGAATGCTCACAGCCCACTCTCAGGACAGCTGGAGCCAGCCAGGGTCACCACCCGGCCGGTGCAGCACCTCCTGCCTATAGTGAATAAGGAGGACGAAGCATGGAAGGCAAACCAAACAAAAAAACTGGTTACTGGGCCTCCAGAGCCCCACATCCTCAGGCAGCTGGGAGGCATGGCCTCTCAGTGAGATGTATAAATCTATGAAATAAACCTGGAACCCCATTTGATGGAAACACCAGGACTGGAGGGTGAAGGGGGTCGGTTCGCTGCTAGTCTGCTCCAGAACAACACAAGGATGGTCCGTGCCCTCGGCCTTAATGACTTCCCCAGAGACAACACATGCTCCTAAGACCATGTCTCCTGACATCTTACCCACGTAGATGTTTCCGAATAGTACAAAAGAGAAGCTGCCATGTTTAAGGATAAACAAGAGACAAGTCCTGTCGTGAGAAACTGGAGACCCTATTAAGCTGCTTCAGTCTCCGTGAAGGGACCAGGGACAGAGCCCCAGCGGCTGGTGACTCAGGTACTACCACAGTCACAGGCAAAGTGCTGGAGCCCTGTGCCCCTGCTTCCAGCCTGGAGCTGACCTGTCCTCAGCTTTCCACCCCTAATTACTCATTTCCCACTAGAAGAAAGGGCTGGGGCTGCACAGCTTGGTCTGAGATGGGGGCTATGGGGAGGGGGTAAGAGGGCCCAGGGTTCAGTAGCTGCTCCTCCTGTTGGTCTAATAAAGGAGCATCCAATGCACTCTACTGAACTTCAGTGTGCCTTAGCACCATACCTAGGCAGGTGTCACATGACTGGATGCAATGTCAAACCACAAGGGGGGTGACAGCAAGGCCTAAAGGTGGGATGTCAAGCTGGGGTAGGACTTGGGGGTTATCTAGGGTGCAGGGAAACTTGTAAGAAAAATGAGCCTAGCATAGTAGGGAGGGGGGGCAATGTGCCCAATGGTAAGACATCCCAGGAGGCAGGAAGTAATTCTCTTTAGATGATTCTTTCAACTTTCTGTAATTCTGCAATTACTCTAAAGTAAAAATAACACCCAAGGTCAGTGGAGACCGGCCCAAGCATTAACAGGCCTAGCACCACACAGAAAGCAGGATGCTGGAGCAGGCTACCGAGAATGCTAGCTAGAATGTGACCCTCTTAGCCCTCCATGGCTCCAGAGAAACAGAACCAAACAGGCTGTTCTCGCAGATGCAAAGTGTTTGGAATGCTGAGGTCATGCAGAAGCTGAAGCCCTGACACAGCCCTCGGGGTCCCGCCGCCCTTGGCACTGACGCTCCTCCTCGCTTCACTGGACTCTGCACAGGCTGACGGTTACTCCCTGTGGGCAGAAAGACGGGCCTAAAACAGGCAGCAACCAGACACATATGGGCAGCCTCCATGATGAGCTGGCCCGTGCAGGCTAGAATGGAACAGAATGAGCTGCCACTGCTGCCTGAACAGAGAGAGCTTCCCAGGAGCCGCTGTGACAGGAACAGCAGCTCAGCCCTAGCTGTGGCCAGGACAGCAGGGCTTTGAAGTGTGGCTGCTCCTAGGCTTCTCCTTGTCGACAGCCTGTCACAGCACCGGCTGCAGCCCTCACACTCTGAGGGAAGGAGACAGGGCCCAGAAGCACTTCTGAAGAGTGACAAAGTGACAGCAGTGATGGCCATACAGGGGCAGGACATCTCGGCTTGAGCTTCCTTACCAGAGAACCGGAACTCGGAACAGGTGCCAAGCTAGGTCTAACTGCAGAATCGCGACTCCCTCTACAGCTTACCCTCAAGGACAAGTAAAATGTTTAAAATAAAGCTTGCAACACAGTTGAGACCTAAACCAATCACCACTGACTGGGCTGAAAGCAAGAGGACTGGACAGACAGGAAGGACCAGAGCAGCAACAACGTTGGCCCTTCCCAGCATGAGACGGAGATGCCACCTCCTGGTCCTGCTGGGCGGCTCAGTACCCACAGCACCCAGGGAGAGGGACAGTTTTTCACTTCTGTGACAGAACAGCTGAGATAAGCAGCACTGGAGAGGCCGAGGCAAGAAGATTGTCGTTCGTGAGTTCAAGGTCAGTGTGGACTGGGGTGAGACTGTTTAAAAAGGAAGCAGCTGGATAGCTCAGGCAATGACAGTGCTTGCTGTGTAAGCCTGCAATCTGAATTCAAACCCTGGGTCCCACAGCAGACAGCAACAGTCAACTCCCTCAGGCTGTTGTATGACCTCCAAACATATGAGGTGGCTCATGTACTTGCACATATGTGCATATATATGCACATACTGTACACACATCAGCAACATCACAACAATAATAAATTTTAAAAAGGAGGAAGGGCTTCATGTGGGGCTATCTGGATCATCTAGATGAGGTTAACTGAAGCAGGAAGAACTACCCTAAATACAGGTAGTACCAGGCTGGAGTCCCAGACTGCAGAAAAAGAGAATGTGAGTTGAACATTTACCACCCTCTGCTTCCTGACTGTGGAGAGGGGCAGTGGCTCAAGAAAGCATCTGGGTAGCAATGGGCCACGAAAACCCTACGGAGTCACTGGGGCTGCCAAGGCCCTAAAGAGACAGCATCTCTGTGTAGAATGTGGGAAATGCACAGGACAAGGGTGTCCGAAGGGAGGCAGCCGGATCAAAGGCAGAGCCCAATAACAGGACAGGAGCTGCTAACCATAGGGTGACATCTGCACAGAGCACACAAAAGCCTTTCTACTTCTCGTTCGCCCCACAAAGTTTTATCTCAGTACCTCCAGCTGCCCTCCAGCCTTGCTACTGGTGGGAAATGGGAGAGAGGAGCGGAAAGCCTTGGCAGAGCACTGCCCTTCAAGCTCCACAAACAGCAGAAAGATGCCGAGGACCCAAAATAGCCCCAGCT